TTGTTCTCATCATTCTTAATGTTGTATGAGTATACTTTCTATGATTGAGTTCACTTTCATTTTAATATATATTTTAGTTGTTTATTTTATTCTATGTGATAATTTAATATTATTAATGTATTCTTTATCATTATTTACATTAATGTTTATTATTTTTATTATGCTTTCTATTTGTTCTCATCTTAATTTCTTATTTAATTTCTTATTTAACAAATTAATTGCAAAACAATACAACACATCAATTAAAATTCTATTTGTTTGATTTATTGTGTTTTCTTCTCTTCTTGACTGATTATCATTTCTTGTTTTTTGATACTCAGTGTTTTGCTCTCTTCTTCTTCTATTTCCATAATTGTCTTTTTCATAGGGGTAGTTTTGTTCATTTGTATTGTCCCAGATGATGATGTTCTCAATATTGGTTGTGTATTTATCACTAGAGTCATTGTTTTCTTCTTCTCCAGTTCCTTCTGGGATAAAAAATTTTCGATATTTTCTTGTTGTTTGATATTAATTGTTTTTGTTCTTCGTTTTCTCTTTGTGTATGGTCTAATTCTTTTCTTGTTATTTCTGCAATCTCATAGTTTTGAATCCCACTTTTTTGATATACAGAGATTTGATTTTCTTTATCTCTTATGTTCTTCTTCAACACATCATTCTTCGTTTTATCATTATTTAACTTCTCACAATTTACTCGGAGAATGAAGGTTTTATCTTTATTTTATATTTCTGTGTTATTTATATTTTATTTCATTTATTGTCGATTGTAATGAAATATTTTATTATTTTAATTTAGAGTTTTCTTTTCTTATTTCATTATATATAGTTTGAATATTGTTTATTTGTGTTTGAATCTTTTCTATTTCTTCTTCAAACTCTTTCCTAACTGTGTCTCGTGTTTTTTGAATCATTTCATTTGAAATGGTTCGTTCTTCTTTTTTGTTTGAAGTTATTTTATATTTTCTTCTAATTCTTTAATTTTATTTTGAAATGTGTTAATTTCTTCTTTGTTGCATTCTTCTTCCATTTTCTCTTCTTTATCTTGTGTTTTCTCTTTATTTTCTTTTTCATTTATTATTCTTGCATATTTACATCTATCGTTCATTTCTTTGATTCGATTTTTGTTTTTGATTTCTTCTTCGATTGTTTTAATATCTTCATCATTTGTCCAATCTTTTGTTTTATCTTTAAATTCTTCTTTGATTTTCTCTAGCGTTTTCTTCTTTCTTATTGAATATAATTCTTGGAGAATATTATACAATTTCTTTACCTTCATACTTTTTAAGTATTTCTGATTATTCTCCTTTTTCTCCCATTTTCTTGTTATTCTTTTAATTTTCATTTTAATTTCATTTATTGTTAATAATTTATATTTATTATTTGTATAATGTTTATTACCATTATGTTTACTTTCTTTCTTATTTGTTTTTCTATGTGTTCTTCTTTTTCTATTCACTATTTTCTTGTTATTTCTTTTATCATTATTATTATGCATTTTATTGCTATTGAAGTCCTTTCTTTTCTTTGAACTTGAATACCTGTTTGTTGTTTGATTTTCATTACAAGACTCTATGATATTACTCAATAGCCATGGCAACAAAATATGATGTATATTCTAAATGATAAAAGGATCTAAGAATAAAGAGGAAATAAAATATATGAACAAAAACCAAGAAGTTAAACATAAAATGTTAAATTTCTTTGATGAAGATAAAGAATAGAATTAAATAAGGAAGAAAAATGAACTAAAGATAAGAAATAGAAAGAAATTCCAAATAAAAGATAATTGAGAAGAGTCCCCAATGATGAAGGAGTAATAAGTAAAAACTCAAATATTATTATGAAACTATACTAATTTAATTCAAGTCATTTAAATAAGATGGGTATATTTAACACTGGATTAGTATTAAAAATATTATTAACACACAACCATTAATCCTTAAGAAATAGTTAATTAAGAATTAAATAAAAATAAATCAAAAAGAATGAAATTTTAAATGAATAAATCAGTTGGTTGTTTAAAACACATTTAAATATAAGGGAAAAAGAAGACCAATAAGTTAGATGATTTGGTGATTATTAGTATAATGAAATAAATTATTTTAATATAACTATTTAATATTATTAACAAGATATATGATTTAATTTCAGTTTTATGTTACTACTATTATTAAACTATAAAACATTAAATATGGAGAAATTAAAATAAAGAAGACTTAATAAAGCAATACATTTTTCTTAATCACTATTTATTTTTAACTAATTTATTATGTCAGTATCATTAATGATAAATGGTGTATTTTAAATTACCATAATGAAGAAAAATGAAGAAAATTATATAAACTATAATTCACTTCAATAAAAGATAAATAATGATTAACTTTAATAGAAATGAAATAGAACTATTAAAAAGAATATTGCTGTCTCATTAAATGAATACGAACCAGTTAAATAATTACACTAAATTAGAACAAATGAAGAAATGATATAATATAATAAAATAATGAAAAACAAACAAAAATGAAGAATTTCAATAAGAAAAGTATGTACAGTAAGTAACTAATAAAATATAAGACATAGTAAATATATAATAAATCAAACAGAATGAATAACTATCACAAATACTTTAATTTTATTCTCATTTATACAATTTCATTTTATGAAGTTAAATATAAAATATTACAATTAATTTTAACTAAGTACCTTGAGTTTTAAAACAAAAGAAGCAAACTAATTGAAGACAATTTTTTAATTGATAAGAAATAATAATTATGCAATTCCTTATTTCAATTTAAAATGAGAAATGTACTTAAATTAATAAAATAACTAATTACACAAATTGAATCAAAAAGAGCATATACTTTATTTTAAACTGATTAATAAAAAACTATTCAAATTAGTTTTTAAAAGAAGAAAGCAAAAATACCAAATAAAGCAATAGCCATTACTGAGATTGTACTTAAATGTCCAGCAGACTCAGGAGGAGTAGTTCCTTTTGTACAGAAGCATTTAACTGAAGTAGTTCCACTAACTTGACAAGCACCACATCTGTACATTTGTTGATTTCTTGATCTTTCACTTTTCTCACACTTATTGTTTGGATAAACACCTAACCATAAATATCCATCTTCTTCATCGAACTTGCAATATTCTTTGTTATCAGTACCACATGCAAGACAATCTGTACCAAAGTATGCTTTCACTGCATCGTCAGAGTGTAAGCATTTACCATCATCAATAGATGAAGCAGTGTAGGCAACATATTCAGGTAAATCTCCAATTTTAAGTGTACATGACATTCCTGTACAAAGACGTTCTTTAGTAGATTCATCAGTAATATCATACACACTTGTGATAGGATTATCTCCTTCACAGTTCGAAGTTTCACTATATGTGGTGATAGAAATTTCAGTTTCACTAACCTTTCTATATATTGAGGATATCTTCGATGAAATATAATTACACTTCCCAAATTCTATTGCTGTTAATGCAGTTGGCATCCCATAAATAGCTGAATCAAAGGTCATAATAAAATATTCTGACATCGCAACAGAAATGAAAAGTGCAAAACATAATGCCTTCATTTGATATGTAATTTATCAGTTATTTTTCCTTAAATAATTCATTTATTATTATTCTATTTTTATCATTCGTACTTTTTATATTTTTCCTATCCTTCATTCTATTATTACTTTCCTTTTTTTTATTTCTTATGAAAATACAACAAACGAATAATAAATAGCCAAAATAAAAGATCTTATAAACGACTATAATATTCTATACTATGATTATTTATGATTTTAACAGTTTATTTGAGTTATTTTAAGTTTATTTCATATTTGTTTTTGAAAAAAAAAGAAATAAAAATAAATAAAAACCAATTATTTAAGTGGTAATAAATTTATTTTCTATTGTTCTTTGCTCAGTACAGAATAATCATGTCAGTGTGCTTTAAGAATGAGCACTCTCCATTCTCCTATTCTTTAGATTTTCATTTTGTTGAGAAGTGTAATTTTCTATTTATCACTCTTTTACAATGTTTTTTTTCAAACATCATTAATTTATTCATTTAACTGACTATCTCGTATTTATTTTAATTTTAATATTTATTAAAACTCCTCATTTTTATTTTCTTATTTTATGTTGGTTATATTATTACCATTTTTATAGTTATTTCATTTATCACCAACAACAAGCCAACCAACCACCACTTTATTAAATCAGTTTCAGTAATTTATTAACAACTACGCTTACGTCTTAACTAGTAAATAATACTATCATCTTTATAAACACCACTCTTCTATTGAAATAAATGATATTCCACCATCATAAATAATACCAATCATTCTTGCAGTGTTGAGTAAAATATTTTCTAACAATGGCAACACCATAACCAGAAGATACTTATGATTCAAATTTTCGATTTGTTTTAATGTTTGTGTTGTGTTTCTGGTGCTAACTTTCAATTCTCTTGTAAAATTTAAACAAAAACAAAAAGAAGATAAATAAGAGTTAAAGTTTATACAAAGCAATAAAATTCAGAGAAAAGAATGTTATTAGGTTGAGTGACAACAACAACAACCAAAAGACTTATGAAGGGAAAGAGAAAATCAGTTCAGAGAAAAAAGGTTTAAGTTTCAGAAATAAAAGAAAAACATGAAAATTCATGGAAGGATAACAGGAAACAAAGGATAAAAAGGAGTTTTACAAAATAGTTGTAATAAAGGAAATTGTTCAAGAGGGGGTGGAAGTGTTAAACTGTATTTGACTAAATTTCATTCGTTTTTATTATTTATTAAATTAACAAAATGAATATGATTATTTGAAATGAAATAAAACAAGAAAGAAATATGAACATTTTTATATTCACCATTTCATTTATTGATTTTATTTTATATTCTTTTTTCGTTTTATATTTCAAATAAATAATAATGAATAAAAATCATTTCATTTCAATTACAATAATTCGTTGTGGTGTGAAATGTTCTGGATATTGTTTTCCACAAAGTGCATTTGATATTCCTTTATATGAAAATGACCATTGATTACAAAATGACCATGTTTTATCATTTTCTTTATAAACAATAATATCACCATAATATCCAAATCCAAACAAATAATCATCTGATTGATTATATAACCAAAATGCAAATTCTGGATCTTTAATATCAAATTTCTTCATTCCGTGTATTCTTCCTTTTGATTCTATTGAAAATAAAAATGATTTTGGATCATTTATAAAAAGATCAACTTTATCAATTTTCACATTAACATATCCTCCAAATTTATTTCCATTTGTGTCTTCAATAATAATTATTATATGTTCTTTATTTATTATTCTTTGATCAAATACTGATGTATCTTCATTCCAATCATCAACATTTGAATCAAATATTATATTAGATACTTTTCTTTCTGTCCATTCTTCTAGTTGTTTAATTATTTGTTTTGTTTTATCAATTGGTATGTTATTTGATATTGATGTTATTTCCATTATTATTTATTTTTAAGTTCTTTTTTAATAACATTATTATTTTATTGTTATATATCACATTTCATTATTTTTGTTATTGATAAATCTCATATTTATTATTAAGTTCATTTTATGTTTTTAATAACATTTATTTATTCTTTTTGTTATTTATTTTTATTTCTTTCTTTTATTTCTTTATTTTATTCATTTCAATTCATTTAAATATATTCTTTTATTTCTTATTTATCATTTATTTCTTATTTGATATTTTTATTTCTTTGTATATTTAATGAATAGATGAATAAAATAAAACACATTTGAAATGATATTATTAAATGAATGGTATTAAGTATAATTTATTCGTTATTTGCATTAATTGATTTAAAGATAATAGACCATTTATTATGTAATGTTTTTATTCATTATTATCAAAAATAAGATGAAAAACGAAGGGTATATAAAATTGTCCTTAAATAATAATTAATATAAAATTTAACTATTAAAATTAGTTAAATTATCCTCAATTTTCTCTATATTTATTATTTTTATTGATGTTATTATTTATATTCAATTTAGTTAATTAAACTTCATTTTATTATAGATACGATTTTTTTATCTTAAAAAATAAATATTAAATATTATTTTTATTTAATTATTATTAAACTGTTCATTTAATTTAATTTATTTAATTTTGATATTATAGTGAATTGTTATTTATATTTATATTTATGTTTATTTCATTTTATATATAATTTCTTATTATTATTCATTATTTATATGATTTTAGTTTATTTGTTTATAAATTGTATATTTATAATGAATATTTTCATTTAATTATTTGTTTATTGTTGTTATTCTATCATTGTTATTTTAAATCATTTATTTATCATATTTGAAATTGA